ATTTTGTTAGAAAATAATTGTAAAGAATATAATTTTCAAAATAATTATATTAAAGAAACAAAATAAATTTATTTATTAAAATAAAAAATAAATTTTGTAAAAAATATAAATATAAATACTTTTTGTTATTATTTTTTTAATCAAAAATGCCAAAAATTACAAAAGAAAGAAAATTAAAGACGAAAACTGAAAAAACTATATGTTCTATATGTAGATTTAAAAGGATAAAATGTATTCAATCAGAGGAAAATGAAGAAAAATGTGAATTTTGTTTTAAAAATAATCTTGATTGTCTGAAATATAAGCCTTCATTAATAGAAAATAAAATTAAAAGATTAAATATTGTTGTTAAAAATCATGAAAGTAGAATTGAAAACTTTGAAAAACGAGTTCAATCTTTGGAAAAAGATAATTCTATAATTAAAAATAATCTTTTACAACAAAAATTACTTATAAAACAATTAGATTTTCTTTTATCGTAGTTTATTATATTATTCTACATTAGGAAATATATAATTTATTTATTAATATTAAATTAAATTTTAAATATAAATAAAGAAAATTTTTTTCTCTTATTAAAATTAATGTTTTCTTTACCACCAGAAATAATTGAAAGAATAATTTATTTTTATTCAGAATCATTAATTTTCAATGATCATTATGAAAGTATTGATTCAAAACAACATCCAAAATGACTTATTAATAATATTTATTTTGTATCACATGATTTTAAACAATCATTTGAATATTCATTCAGAAAGATATATTTTGAATTCTATCATATAAATGAAGTTACTATTCTATCTAAATTATCATTAAAATTTATAAAATGATATAACTATTTTAATCTATCAGATAAAATAGTTGATTTTTTAAAACAAAAAGAATATGAAGAATTAAATTTTTATGAATTAATTGTTTTAAATACTATAATTGATTGCAATCGATCTGTTGAGATTAAATTTACTAGTTTATTCATAAAGATTGGTATCTTTAAAATTTTTTCTTTTGGTACGGATTTTAGTTTTAATAAAGAATGTAATTGTATTAATAATGAATTTTGTTTGATTTTTAAACAATTAAAAGATAAAAAATTTTGGTATTATACATGTGGAAGATGTCAATTTTATGAAGTAGAAATTAATTATTCAAAAAGAAAATCTAAAAATAAATCTGTAAAAAGAAAAAGAGTTAAATTTTAATATAAATATAACCATCATTAATTTTATTCAATAAAAATAAAATTATTTTATCTATTTTTGTATTTTATTATTTTTGTATCAATTTTATATCAATTAGAAATATATGCTTCTTGTTGTCAAAGATTATCTAATCATATTATATACAAAAATTTATATTCATCAAAGATTATAAGAAAATGTAGTTGTTGTAGAAAAACAGGTCATAATATACGAACATGTAAAAATAAATATTTGTAAAAAATATATAAATATATATTGGTAACAAAGAATATTTATTTTAAGTTAATAAAATGAAGAAAGAAGAAAT